GATAGCCCAAGGTACGGCGCGGCAGTCAGATATAGGACAGGGCAGTCCAGTGTACGTCGTGGTAACCCAATGTACGCCAGGGCAGTCCAGTGTACGCCGTAGTAATCCAGTGTATGGCACGGCAGCCCACTGTGCGTCAGGGCAGCCTAGTCAGCAATTCTTAGTTCCTAATGAAAATCGGAACAGAGCCCTGGACATGTCTCTACAACAGCATTCTTGCAGCTCATCGATTAGTTCACTTATCTTATTTATTTCCCCTCAAACGTCTGAGTAAAAGAACTTTGAAGTTCGCCAAAAGAGAAGTTCTACACCGTTAAAACTGATAGCCACAACCCTCTTCATTAGCTAAGTATAGCGAAAATATACTTCGGGAAAGGTCGGTCACATGACACTGGACGGCCTAAGGAATTTCGCATCCTTCTCCCGGAGCAAACACAGTCCTACTTTGATACTCTCGAATTTTCACTGTAACTAGTCAACTAAAATGAGAAAGAAATAAGAGACCCCTCTGCGAGCACAGCAAGTAACTGCATTAACAGTTATATTTTTCGTGTTTTCTTCAGTGGCAATTACCTAAAATTTTATTTCCATCTAAACTTCCTGGTAAACGTCGAAGGCTTTCAGAAATGGGCAATGATCAGACTCCATTCCCAGTCCATTTTATTTGATACACGGGAGTCAGTCAATAGGTCACAAATGGAAGTTTGCGGTGGGAAGTGTTTGCCGCGCAAAGCGGCTCACACCTGCGTCGAGAAATTCTCTCAAAGACGTTCGAAAGCCGCCCGGGTCGCCCTGCCGAGATTGCGACAGAACCTACTGTGCAGGGAGTGGAAGAGTTGGCTCGAGCTGATAGGAGGATAGCGACAGTGTAGCAACTGCAATAGGGCGTTCCCATGGTGTAGCATAGAGCATAACGCATGATCGTCTAAAGGTTCGGAAAGTGTACGCACGGTGGGTGCCCAGAGAATTCAAGGCTCGAGAAAAAATTAAGAACATAATGGGTCTGTCCTTGCAACATTTCTTACAGCATGCAGACGAAGGAGGAGATATGGGGAACAGGACTGTTACTAGGGACGAATCATAGGTGCACCACTACCAACCCGAATCAAAGCGGGCTTCAATCCAATCAGTTCACCTTCAAGCAAGAAGCTCAAAATTTAATGTTACGCCATCAACTGGGAAGGTTATGCTTTCTGTGCTTTGCGATTCTCAGGGAGTGCTGTTAGCCCACTTTCAGAAGCGCGGTGAAAATGAGAATTGTGCATCGTACTGTGAAGTTCTGTTGAAGCTTCGGGTTGCAATTCGCAGAAAACTTTCAGGCCAACTGGCAAGAGAGGTACTGCTTCATCATGACAATGCCAGGCCCCATACAGCCCGAGCAATCCGGGAGAGCATTCAAGAGCTGCAGTGGGAACTTCGTGAAAATCCACCTTAAAGCACGTACTTAGCCTCTAGTGACTTCCATCTCTTTGGTCCGATAGAAAGCCACCTTGATGGCAAAAGATTCACTGATGAGGAAGAGGTTGAAACGGAGGTGCCGAAGTGGCTGAGACAACAGTCAAAAGACTCACATGCTGTGGGTTTCCACTCACTTGTAAAGCGATGGGACATGTGTATCAATGTTAGGGGAGGATATTTCGAGAAATGTTTCTCCGGTTCGAATATCACATGTTTGACATTCTATATCCATTTGTGACCTATTTACTGACATTTCCTCGTAGTGTAGAATACAACGAGACAGGTGTTCACCAAGCTGTTCTAGGAGCCAGTTACACTTCTCTGCATTTTAATGCCACAGGACTCAAGAGAAAAAATATGGAGTCAACCGACCAATAAATGTATAGTTTGAAGTAATGGCTTATTAATTTAAACAGCTGTGCTGAACTTAATTTTAAGAAGTGGTCTAGGGTGTAACTAGCCATTGACCCTAACTGTGTTCGTTCATAGGCCCCGACATATCTCCTTTGCATTGTATATATTTATATGAATAATTCTATTTCCAGACAATTTCAAGTCCGGAAAACGAAACAAAATTCGCATAACTGATCTTAACATAAATTCCACGTGTTTCATATCCAAACACACTTCCTCTAAGTGCTGAGACATCATGTTTTGTGTTTACTTAAAATTCCTTTGCTAAGGACAAGACAGCGGTAGGAGATAGTGCCTGGTATTGAGATGCGATGAAACATTCTTGCAGCCACAGCAGTAGGCCGTCTTCCACTTGTAGGAAAATCTTGCAGAGATGCCATGAACATTACTTCATACAGCTGTCCAAAACGATAATAAACCAAAATCCACGCACATATTATATCAGGCCTACGCTGTGCTGTTATTTATACTGATATAGGTATGCAAGTGTATGTGGACTTGAGTGAGGAAAAGTTTTATAAATGTGTTTACATCCAACACTAGAAATAATTTCTACTCTCCCAAGTATGTACACTTCGGAAAATTTCAGACTATAAGGCAGTGCATCCAGCGCATTTATTTCATTCAGTCATCAAACTCGCGAGGCCGCCTCTGTGGTCTGGTGGTCAGAGTTCCTGGCTACAGATCCAGAGGTTCCGGGTTCGATTCCCGACGCTACCAGATTCTCTGGGAAGTAGTGGGTCTGGAATGGGGTTCACTAAGCCTCGTGAGGGTAACTCAGGAGCTACTTGAATGGAAAAGTAGCGGCTCCGGTCTAGAAAACCGAGATTAACGGCAGTGGGAATCCGTTGCGCTGACCATGCGACACCCTCTATCCGCAAAAATTGACACTAACTTCGCCGACATGCGGCGGTCGTTCGGTCGGTATAGTTCGCTTGTGGACTAAAAGCCACGGAGTTTTTTTATTAAACTCGTCAAAGTCAGTCACATGGTAAAGTGTGGTAGTGGCTACGAGTTATGCAACATTCAATACTTGCAATCAGTACCATTTCGGAAAGATCTTGTGCTGCAATGCTTGCTTACGTTGCTAGGCCTATATTTCAGACGATGGAAACACAGTACAATTACTGTTCAAATTTTATCAACTTCCAGCATTCACATCTCACAATGTGTAAAAATAAATGTCAGCTTTGTGTCAGACATTGCTCTCCGTTGCATCCTATACGAAATTTAATCCTAATTTTACTTACAAGAAATCTCAGGTTAAAGATTTTGCTACGAAACTAATTTGGCAAAATCGAGCAAAACTTATGGTTTAATGGGATATGACAAATTGCTTTTACCCACACATATACGTATGTGAAATATGTGTCGAGTGGTTACTGTTCTTCCTTCTTATTTGAGAGACCTCGTGATCGATTTTCGATCGAGGCCTGCCACCTTTACATCACTCTTTCCCGATTTCCTTCGCTACATCAAAGAAAATGCTGAGATGGGACTGTCTTATTCATTACCAACTTATCACTTACAAGCATCCTCTCAAGTGACGCTACACTTACAAGTATTTAGTTGTGAATTTGTGGTTATATAAACTAAAAATCAATCATACACCGATTACATATATTTGAAAGAAAGTTTGTCGTGAAAAATGCATTCACTACCTGCTCTTTTAAAATATGTAGCGTGAAAAGACTGAACACACATAAAACCCCAAGACACCCCAATCTTGTTCAGAACTTGTGATTTTCTATATATAAATTCTTACGATGATCTCTTCGTTGCTTAAGCTCCATGTAAAGCAATGCGACTTTTTCATTATAGTTAAGTTACCTGCGGAAATCATGTCGCAGCTGGACCAATGAGCACTCACACACACAACAGTCGAGCCTTGATGATGCTGAGGACCCACAGTGGGCTACATCCGGTACAGACCGGAAGTGAAGGACACAACGCCCCCTCCCCCAACATACGGTTCAGAGAACACGAGGAATGTGTATAAAAACGTTTCCAAACATGGTACGAAGGTGAAATCAGCAGATTCAATATAAGGTTTGAGAGTAATTACTTTTATCATTATGTCCATAATTTGGTAGTCTTCTTTAAAACAGAATAAATGTAGATCCCGGCCATAATACCTATTCAGATATGTACGAATGTAACATTTATCATGGAGCGTATAAATATCAGATTTCAATTTTATTTCTGGTTTTTAACGACGCTATCAATAGCTAGAACTACATAGCGTCGAATGTTAGGATGCATGAATACTGGATTGGTGGATGGAAGCCGTCATGGACAATTTTTGTAAGTAGGCCGACATTTTCCTGGAGGGGTGCTACATGCCCTGCCCACCTCATCCTCCTTTACTTGATCATTCTAATTACGTTATGAGGCTCTTCATTATGCAGTTTTCTGCACCTCTGTCACTTCATCTCTCTCCGGTCCAATCATTAGTATATAAAAACAAACCAGTGCGAATGAAATGAAACTTTCCGTTCGCACTAAATGTTGTTATGCTTAATTTTGCAAGACGTGCAGAGAGAGAATGACCATGATCATCCCCAAGTCTATGCGTGCACGTGTTAAACTTCCGAAACTCCCGCACCGAGATACGAAAGTTGTCGAGCGAACGCTTCGTTTCCGTCAAACGTACCTTCTAGTTTACACGAAGCTCAAAACAAAACTTTATCTGGGTTATGAAAAGCGAAAGCTTTTGTATATAGCATAGCTCCAAAGAGTTTAGAATTATACCGCAGAAACATACACGTGAGTTGGCCCTCTATAAAACATGGTGGAAATTTCCTACATAAAGCGTGACCTTGTGCGTTGCAGAAACAATAGAGAGAAAGAACTCATATATAATGTGGATATACTCAGGCAGGATATCTGCATCAAGTTCATACGTAGCCTGACAGAGAAATGACACAGAAATTGCGCTTTGCAGTCCACATTATCTCACAGGGTGGGATAAACAATGGAGTCGGTATTCAATTATTCTCGAAATGCCCGCACATATTTCAAACAAACTAGCATGCAGAATGATGTTAGGTAGACTTTCTCAGGCTTTGAAAATGATTTAGGTATCGTCTGGGCTTTTATGTTCTCCTTGAACGAAGACAATAACATGTAGTCAACTCTTTCATTTAACGACCATTAACGAAATCTAATACAGCGAGTAAGATTTGAGGCTTTCAATACAGCGAGGATCGACACTAAATAAAAACAAACGCCGTGGTTACAGTCCGCAAGCGAACTATACCGACCGAGCGACCGCCGCTTGTCGACGAGGTTAGTGCCAACTTTAGCGGCTAGAGTGTGTCGCGTGGTCAGCGCAACGAATCACCATGGCCTTTAATTTCGGTCTTCTAGACCGGAGCCGCTATTTCTTTGAAAGAGCTCAATTATCCTCACGAGGCGGAGTGAACCCCGTTCCAGACCCATTACTTTTCACAAAATCTGACAGAGCCCGGAATCGAGCCCGGACCTCTGGCTCTGTAACCAGGAACTGTGACCACTAGACCACAGAGGCGGTCTCGACACTAAATAACGTCATTTAATTACGGCCCATATCGGCCGGACATAACTTCACAATATCTAAATGAAGATGTAATCCCAAATCTGGTGTCCCGCCTTCCCCTAAACGACAACCCCTATAGCTTACTTGCAACTGATTTCAGTAGCCCCTATACATGAAACATCTGTAGATATGGTGCCAGATGTCAGACGATCTGTATCTGGATACGATACTGCGTCAGCTGCAGAGGATACAGTAAAGTGGGGCAATAGTGCGCATGAGCAAGGCGCGAAGTGAGATTTTCTGTACTAAATGATGTAGCAGCTGACAGCACTAAGAGCGAGTGGAGCGAAACATGACAGTCGGCGTTTGCTTACAATCTGAAGGTGAACAGAGTCTCAAAATATGAGGTAAGATAAAAGTATTAAGGTTTTCGATGTTGCTTTCATCAGTTTTGAAAACAGGATATTTAATGTCTAAATATATTAAAGCATTGTGAAATTGGTGGGAAAGCCAGAAGGAAAGAGACCACTATGAAGACAAAGACGTAGGTGGGTGGACAAATTGGTATGTATCTTAGAGAAATAGGATGGGATCGTTATGGATTACACTGATCTATCTCAGGACAGGGACCACTGAAGGGCTCTGGTGAACATGGTAATGAACCTTTAGGTACCATAAAATGCTGGGAGGTTTTTGAATAGTTGCACAATTGGCAGCCTCTTAAAAAGGGCTCAGCTCCATGCGTGAGTGACTGTGAAACTACGAATTCATACGTGTATTCACTCTATTATTGACCAAAAGTTATGTGCTGATGGCAGCGTGTCTTGAGCCAAAAAGAGCATTCATTATGGGGCAAAGTTCGCAAGACAGAATATGGCATATTCATTCCTGCAAATTTATTTCTGTGAAAAAAAAAAGATTTCTTGTGTTGCGTTGTTGATTCTAAAAGCTCCTGTTGCCAACTTCTGTTTCAGAAAGGCGTACTGCTGTACCTTTTGCACTTCAGTGGCAGTTTTATAGACAACTCATTATTATTCACTGATAAGCAGAATATTCTAATTAGCCATTTCTGGAGGTACTAAAGTCATAACGTCCTTTATATAAAAAAAACATGTATTTTAAGCTTATAACTCAAAGAGCCGATATTCACTATTTTTATTTACTTTCACAATACGGGCTGCTAACTAGAGGAAGGACAACGGATTAAAATATTCGTCTAAATCACTAACACTGAGCCTGTGTTTTGCCTTTCGGGCACCTTTCTTCCGCTATACCCTACAGTCGAAATGGAGAAATTGTTACGTACGATGGTTTGAAAAGAAGTGGTCGTGACCTCTTTTGAGGAAATATCCCACAATTAGCACCAAAGAATGGAAGAAATCAACAACAAAAAATCAGTCACGATAGTCGGAAAATATGCTGAAAAAGAGACATCTTGGCCTGCGCATCTGAAGCCCAGAAGACCCCATCACTGCGCATGGTGACTCGCTTCCATCACTACAGCTGCGACATGGTCACGGTGACCGGTCTACTTAATTGCACACCGCACGCAGAAAGTGGAAGAGCCCCGAGACGACTTGGTCTGCTGATCCCCAAGCCTGGAAATCGAAGGTCCTGCCTACAGATTCAACCAGATTAGTTAAGGGGAAGACCATGTCACTTTGCTCACCATTCGTTACTTTTGATATCCTTATGGGCAAGGATGGAATGGAAGTTTTAATATCTAAAAATTCAAACTCTTAACTAAAAACTATAAGACCCAAATCGAAAGAGTCAAGTACCCGTCTGGATTAGTGGGAAGTGCGCATATCAGCCATATTTAAACATATCGACATAAGTATTTAGGTTTCCTGAAATATCCGTATAAGTATGGGTTTGTTCTATATCTATTCTTTTCAGTTTTCTTCACGTTGGAATCTGTAGAAGTAAAAATATTCTGGATACGAATTATGATCCTTCGACAAACTTTCCCCTTCTCATCTCTTCTAGAGGCTGTCCCACGCACAACTACCGTGTTCTGTATACTTGTACTGTTTATTAAATATCTATTTTAGCGAGAAATCCAAATAACTCAAATCGAATAGTTTCCATATAAAACAAAGGGAACGACATAAAGACATTATGATTCAGCTGAAGTACTGAAAATATGAATAGCGACGTGTTCGTGCTTGATGAGGTAAGAAACATATCAGAAATCAGCTACAGCCGTGGGCTAACTCATTGCACCTTCTATCAAGCAATGGCGGTGGTCAGTGGTTGCTGCTGTGCTCAATGAACTATGCACTACGCCATGAAGGCGTAAGGGGCAGTGGATGTACGAATACACATTTTCTTGACCTCGGTACTAGCTGGAGGTGAGTAGTCAGTTTCACGCTCCGGCCGCTTTACCCCAGGTACCCACTGGATTGGAGGTTGGGTGGAACCCAGAGCCGGTCTGGATGATTTGGAGAAAATTCTTGACCCCTACCGGGACTCGAACTCCGACCTCTCAGTCGTTCAGCCCATAGCCAGTCGCTATACCGACTACGCTACCCCGGACAAAGTCAGAGGTACCCAAATAATTACAATAAGATATCCTGAGCCCGTCTCAATCCTTCAGGACCGCTTTCCCCTCCCCCCTACATTCCATTTCCTCGTCTGTAATGGTTTGTTCCGTTTTCTCTCTATCCGAAAACTGAATCATTTCAACTGAATAAAGCTACGTTGCATGACCATGTTGCTATGATAGTCTCTGAGTCTATATCCTATTGCTACTCGCAGAAAATTCATTCTGATGCCTGCATTCGTCTTCTTATCATCATATTCCAACGCCCTTCCATTATAAAACTTGCACTGAGATTCCTTCCGTCTTAGGAACAGCTCAACTGCAAATAGTCAATTTAAAGCGATAAGAAAATACATAAATACAATCAGTACCTTAAAAAAGAGGGATCTTCTAACAACAGCCTATGCCTATTTTGGGGGTTTATGGGCGGTGATATTTCTTTTTATTGCTAGTGGGGTGGGACTAAGTCCCCTGTACTGCGGCCACTTCTGGCCTATTGTACCAGCTCCAGATGATAGGTGAGGGTGATTGTGGAGAACATTAGCATCGAAGAATATGTTATACTCCGGTCTGCTCGTCTCAAATAAATAACAGTAACCATTATATCACGCCTAGCAGAAAACAGAATATATACGAAGACAATAAACATACGAGACTATGTAAAATATGTAAAACTGTGAAATTTCTATCAATCAAGTTTATTATTTCCTAAGAAATTCCGTACAGACCACCATTATTCCATTTAAGTTGCGGAACACCTTGGCACAGCTCGAGAAAATAATTTGCAAACCACTGGTCTGACGTACATTCAGTGGTATAAACCATGTTTCGGCAGCTGACCCGTCTACACTTGAGATCAGTGGTAAGCCCCTTAACAAACAGATCTGAGATGAAAACCGTTTCTACTTGAGGATGAGAGTAAAGCCAACCCACGAAACACTGAGTATATCAAATACATGTACCTTGGGCAGCAGAAACAGGCAATTCAAATGCTGCAACTACAAACGCTAATAGAATCATGGTACTATGTACTGAGTTGGCGCGAGGTAGCTGATTTAATGACTTTATTCCATTTGTCTCACGGGCATTACGTCTAATCAGAATACTCGTACCTGCCACCGCGTTCTTCCATGTTGTGACTTCGCTTTCCATCTGCTGTATATTTCCACTCTGTTAAAACAACATTCAACTGCTCCTCAACTTTGTTTCGATATCCTATTTTGTTTATTGCCAGTGGGGTGGGGACTAGGTCCCTTGTACTGCGGCCACTTCTGGCCTATTGTACCAGCCCCAGATGATAGGTGAGGGTGATTGTGGAGCAATTTGTGGAATGAAGATTGGCAGGGGAAACCGAAGTACTTGGAGAAAACCTGCCACAGCGCCACTTTGTCCACCACAAATCCCACTTGTCCAGATCGATCCCGGGCCGCCGTAATGGGAAGCCAGCGACTAATCGCTTGAGCTATGGCACGGCCATTCGATATCCTATGAAACTGCTGCACAAAAATGTTTACAGTGACATCCCCGAGTGAAAGAACTGGTTGCATAACAGCGAGTTTTCCTAAAGGTAGCCAGCGAAATAAATTTCATTCATGCATCATTTTCTCACAAGAGTGATGTCATTCCATACTTTTCGGTTCAGCGTCAATCGGACTGGAAATGGCGGGATTACTGCAACACCTGAAGCAAATCCTTGTAAATAAGTAACAGAAGTTTGTGGGCCTATGTTCAAGAGAGACTTTTCGGTTTCTAAAGAAACAGGCAAGAGCACACCAATTCGTGTTACTATAACATAAAATTAATATTACCAAAGGCATAGAGCGCTTCGTAAGCCGGGATAGTTCAGTCGGTATAGCGACTAGCTACTGGTTGGACAACCGAGGGGTCAGAGTTCTAGTCCCGGTGGAGTCCACCCAACTTTCTATTCAATTGGTACCGAGGGCTCTTTCCCTGGGAGTAAAGCGACCGAGGCGTGAAGCTGACCACTCACCTCCAGCTAGTGCCGAAGTCAAGAAAACGTGGGTCTATGCATTCACTCCCCTATACGCCTTCATGGCGAGGTGGTTACTTAGTTAAGTACAGAGACAACGTTACCTTTTTATTCACCACTTCTGTCTTTCCGCTAGGCTGATGTCCTGCATGCCTCTTAACTCCGCATGCGCAAGGGCATTACGAACATCTTTTTCTCCCTTCTGCGGGCGATTTCGAAATTAAAGATAAGCAAGGATATATTATTTCAGATTATCATAAATCAATGCATGTGTGAATGTTCGTTTCAGTAATCCGCTCTTGTATTTGCTGTTTACTTCTACAGGTTGACAGCTCACGTTTGCTTCCGCAAAACTTCAGGGCACCAAATGGCAGGCAGAAACATAAACCTGTACAGAAACCACAATTTGGACAACATTTTCCGTCCATCATGTCCACGGTACTGTATCAGATAGATTCTATCTTGAGGAGGGCAGTTGTCCGTCAACTAACGTTACTAATGCGGATCTAATGTATTCGTAATTCTTTATCCTGAGAAGGCCGGTACTACTCTACGCAACATGAAGGGCCCCGGCTCTGAAACAGGAACCTCTGATGCGTACCATCTTGCAACTGACATGATATCGCAGAAATTACACCTGAACTTCCAACGTNCGTACCATCTTGCAACTGACATGATATCGCAGAAATTACACCTGAATTTCCAACGCTTTCGTTTTTCCTCTTTCGTGACAAATAACTTTGGACATCATTCCAGACTCTAGTCAGGGTGACTGAAGAATCATAATACAATTTATATAAAACTAAATAAAGGAGTGCGTCCAAATCTCGTACTCCCACTGTTCTCCAGTCCACAAATAAAATTCAATTAATACAAGTTCCATTTTTTCGAAGATCCTTTACTACAAAACACTTCGAGGCTCATTATTAATCGTCTCTTGTGTCTACTGACTGTAGCAAAACGAAAGTACCCACCAGACTGAGTGGTACCCGGTTCCAGCCGAGACATCGGGTATACAGACTGAGTTACTTTTAGGTTTACCTCAGTCCCTCCAGCCAAGTTCTGGAACAGTGCTCACATTAAGATATGACTCCTAAAGGTAAAGTTGTAATGAAGCACTATGCCATGAAGGCGTACTGGGATTGGCTGTATAGATTATACATATTCTTGACCTCGGCACTAGTTTGAGGTGAGTGGTCAACTTCACGCCCCGGCTGCTTTATCTCCGGGGAGAGAGCCCCCGGTACACACTGGATAGAAAGCTGGGTAGGTCCCAGAACCGGTCNAGATTATACATATTCTTGACCTCGGCACTAGTTTGAGGTGAGTGGTGAATTTCACGCCCCGACTGCTTTATCCCTGGGGAAAGAGCCCCCGGTACACGCTGGATAGGTCCCAGAACCGGTCTGGACGTGATGAGAAAATTCTTTAAACTACCAGGACTCGAAATCCGACCCCTTCGGTTGTCCAGTCAGTAGTCCTTCCTTCCAAAATCCATCCATCCAGCGACGATACTACCATTTAACGTTATGTAGTCTAGATACTGAGAATGTCGTACGCAAACAAAAAGAAAATTGAAACGCCGAAAAAATGCAAGATTACCTTCAACAGTATGACATGCATACCAAGTATTGTGGAAATTCGTCACTTTCAAATTTTACTTGGGCAGAAAGACATAAAAGAGCATGGCTGCTGCTATAATGCTACAGGCATGAGACTCTTTACGAAATAATTCAGCTCAAAAACAGTTCCAGGCTATAACACCAAGGGAGGGTTCAGAGAGTGACGTCACTGTTTTAAAATAGCCTCCTCACAGTTTCTACGGCCTTCCGACCCCGTCTGCAATGATTCAGGTTCACCATATAAGAAAATGACACTGTTTATTAAATTATTATTCAAATTAACACAACTTCATTTTCGTGGGAAAGTTGGTATAAACAATAGGAGAATCAATATAAGGACGTTCTGATAATGAGCCTCATTGTAATGCAAGCGGCTGTGTCAGGGGTAGGGTCGGGCAATATACTGCAGCTGAATTATTCACCTGATGAAGCACATAACGACAAAGAAATCTATTTCAGTGTTGTCACATTAGCGTCGCAAATTACTGCAGATTTTGGTAAAACCATACGAGGATTTTGGGAGAGGGAGATCCAGGCTTAACTGCATCGTGTTCCAATCCAGTGCTAGACTGCATCTCAATACCAACCGTGACAATGACAGCCTGGCTAAAACAAATACTGTGGCTTTAGTCCGCAATCGAACTATACCGACCGAGCGATCGCCTCCTGTCGGCGAAGTTAGTGCGAACTCTTGCGGATAGAGAGTGTGGCGTGATCAGCGCAACGAATCTCCACGGCCGTTAATTTCGGTTTTCTAGACCGAAGCCACTACTTTTCCATTCAAGTAGCTCTTCAATTATCATCACGAGGCTAAGTGGACCCCGTTCCAGAACCACTACTATTCACAAAATCTTGTAGCGCTGGGTATCGAACCCGGGACCTCTGGATCCGTAGCCAGGAACACTGACCACTAGACCACAGAGTCGGTCGAGAGGGCTACAGATATCATTAGTCGTCATACACTTGTCGACAAAAGCATTACACGTGCTCACAGAGTTCAGAAAAGCGGTGAGTCTCGCAATGATTTCTGTGCAGCTTACAATGCATGCGAGATGCTCACCTCCAAGGTTGGCTTTTTCCACTTTTGTAGTACTAC